TGGACATGGAAGGCGATTGAGAGTGTTCGCAAGAGGCACGTGGGTGAAGAAGAGGCGAATGGATCCGTTGACTTTCTCCGCGCTTCGCGTTTTTCCCGGAATTTTGCTCTTCGTGGCACGTGGTACATGTCCGCAGATGAAATTTACAGTCACGCGATTAAAATCAGTCACCAATGGAAAAATTGCGCGTCCATTAAATTTTCTTCGTCTTTTTTTTTATTCTTTGATGTTCTCTATTTTATTTACTTCCGGGTGGATTTTCTTATCATCCCACTCAATTATTTACTCTAATTACTTGAAAATTATCAATGTTTCTTCGATGTAACAGGAATTGGTCATAAATTCAAGTGAACCTCCCAGAAGTTATCATTTTTCACACGACAAATTCTAATCAATACCTTGAAATATAAGAATTATCCTGCGCTTTAAACAAATATTAATCTTATCAAATGCACCTTTATCCTTGAATGTTCCGGAAACGGGGGAGGGTAAAATGGGTCGTTTGAGAGGAATTATCTCCTAAATAGTTTATTCACCGCGATAAAACCGCTCGGTTTATTGATACAATGTTGTACCTCTATCGTGAAAAATCGTTTGAACGCAGGACATTTTACGATCGAGCATCGATGAGAGTAAGAGCCGGGCTATTAAGATATTTGAATAATATTGAAGGAGCCCCCCGTGTTTATAAACACTTGAAAAACTGACAAGGTTGCGGGGTACGGGGGCGAGGGAATTTCTTCGATAAGGCAAAAACTTGGTGTCGCAGGGGAGTATCGTCTGGCAGGGATTTTATCGCCGTCGGCGACAATAAAAACTGAACGAACATGGGCCCGGCAACACTGCTTAAATTCACCTCATTCCCCCTTTTATTTACATTCCCATCCCGCAATGAGAGAAAAAAATCAAGTGGGATACTGTTTTTATTTTCCTATATTACGGTTTCTTTACTAATGAATTAGCAATATGTGTCTAAATGCAGTTAAATTATCGCCAGTATTTAACCAATTGATGTGATTACCCGAAACGAAAATATATACTTGAATCATATATATTTTATACTTAATCTGAATACATGATCTTAATGAGATTTCAATAATTTTTTTTGGGAACAGCTGATCAATTGAGTGAAGTAATTATTCGGTGTATATCGAAGCGGCAAGAAAATACCGAGTGATTGGGTAGCGGAAAAAATATCCCCTGAAAAAAAATCCCGGAAGAAGTATCCTCGGAAAAAATATCCCCGGAAAAAATATCCCCGGAAAAAATATCCCCCCAATTATACATTTCATTTCTGTCGCCCTTTTTTTGTGTACATATTTTCCGAGGGGGGGGGGGGGCGTAGAGGTAGGACCAGGGGCGCAGGATTTTTAAATATTTATTATTAGGAATTAAATATTAGAACTTTTCTTGGGGATAATTTTTCCGCGGATATTTTTTCCGGGTATGTTTTTTCAGGGATTCGAGTGATTACCGATTATTAAAAAAATCGGTATGAACTTTTTCGTCTAGAAAACAATTTTATTATTCATAGTTATATATATAGTGTCATGTTTCATGAACTCTTGAGGCAAGAATTAGTCATCCTGGCACGAAAAATGAGAAATTCAGAGTTTGACGAATACAATGTTTTTATTCGAGAGAAGAAAAGAATAAAAGAACAGGCGAGCGAGTTAGGAATTTTTATCCCAACGAAAGTCTCTATATCTACTTTGGTTTAATTTCAAGAACCAGAGAGGGTAAAAAAATACTGTAAACAAACAGTATAATGGCCTGTTTAGTGCTGACTGGGATGGTCATCGAGAAGGCCAGGAAAGCACGTGTTGTTTAACACTTGCCAGCTAATACCAACATATGAAATCACGTAGAGGAGAGTGGGGTTGGATGATCTCATGTGTTCTACGGAGTGTTGCACTACGGGGATGAGTGATGAGGCGCGAAAGCGTTACCGTTTCTCCTTCTGCGAAAATCGGTACGTGTCCGTGAGCATAAACTATCGGCATACGGTCGGCACGTGCTGCAAACCTCTCGGTCACTCGTTTTAATAAATTCAGGTAACGTGCATTTTTCCGAGGCGAAGGTGGTCTACACATGTTGAGGAGCAGAAGGTAAATAGAATTTATGGTATTTATGGGTTGGTATTGCATGCAGCGAGAAAAAAAGGTTCAGAAAAATACGAAACTTCCATGAAGTTCAATAGTCGATACGCTCAGGGGTTATTTCGATGTGCAATTCTCGAAATTGCATCATTTGATGCGCGAGTGTGCAATTTTATTGCCAATAAATTGGGTATTAAAAATGTATCGATCGGTTTAATGCCTTTATTGCCTCATTTTTTTATTTGTATCGGTAATCCTACCGCGTTGAAACATTTTGTGATTTTTTCAATCCTTGAGCTTGAGGATAACATGAGGATTTTTCTCGTAATTTATAATAACTATTCTGTGTAAATTAATTAAATAATTTTTAAAAATCAATACTTATCATTTAATACCAAATAATCAGAATTCAGGGATTCTTCTGAAATTTTCAGAACTCCGGAAATCCTCATGGAATTTCCATAAACTCCATGAGAATCCGTTACCAAATATTAATTTTCACATTCTGTCTTTCTGCAACTAAAAATTGTCTGTTCTTACTTCAGAATCTCTATAAACAATATTTAAGGGACACCAGGATTTTAATTTCCATTTGACTGAATTACAGGTCGTTGTTGGGGTCTTTACCATTTTTTTTCTGCTAAAAATTGGAGAGAATTTTTTAGCTGGCCCTTGAATTCACCTGACGCCTTCATAACCCTTAACAAGCCTTTGATCCCCCACCATGAATGCGTGTAGCAATGCATCATCAATTTATGCAGAACAATTCAGCGAGTATGCATTAAGACACACATTGGTGGTACCGAGAAGACCCGCAGAATCAACCTCCCTTTTATTTCATTTAAAACGCTTGCGGTTGGTTCAAAGACCCGATATACCTGTAGCTCATATCGCTGTGTGGTTATTTTTTTTAACGACTCGTACCACACACGTACATGTGCATGTTTCATACAACCGGCGTTTGTGTTTTGGCTGGGCAATTAGCATACGATTGACCTCCACCATCTTGAGGTCGACTTTTTCCACTTCAGGGATCAATATTAAATTCAATTATTTTATTATTAAATTACATGAAAAAATTCCGTTAAAATCATACCGATTTCCTCTTTTCAGTGTCTCAAAATTGTTATTCCTCGCGAAAAAATATTCTCCTGTTAAAAATTGATAAAATGTCAATGTCAAGGTTTCAAGGCCTCGGTAAATAATAATAACAATAATAGGTTTGAACTTTTTTCTGTGATATTCTTGTTAGCAGTTGTTGACAATTAATAGAACAATTCTTTGAACAAAAATAGAGTATTTTTTATCAAAAGTTTTGAGGGATGATTTGAGTATTCAGTTATTTTTCTATTACTCGTGTAGTAAAAATACATTATTCCCCGGTGTCTTAATCCTGTCACTCCCGGGGATTTCCCAATAATTGCTGGTGGAGACGGAAGAAAAGGGCAAGGGGCCAATAGCCTTTGCCACCAGCAAGTGGCCAATTTCGGGGCCTAATCCCCAGGCCTCCATCCGTCCCAAAATCCAATGTTACCACCAGCAAAAATACCGCTTACCTCACAGCTCATACTTTCCCCATGGGCACAAATTTTGATAATCCTAAATAGGGCCACCAGCAGACCAACCCTCTGCCCTCACACCTCCATCATAAAATCGTACGTGACAGAGTCCAATTTCCAGTACGTTAGGATCAATCATGATCCCCTTTTCTGGTATTTTCCCGTCGTAATTTTCAATTGTTATAGTTCCTGGAGGTTTTTATGCGGGTGCCTTGATGTCTTGGACGAATTCTTCAAGGATTCGGGGAATTGTGGGGGAATACTGTAGGTATTCGGGTAAATTGACAAGTGGATTTATGTGGAATTTTTGGGATTATTAATGATCATTAATAGAGATTCTGTGATTTGTGTCGAGGTTAATGATTTTTAAGCGATTCTCGAATTAAGGCTGGAGAGAAACGAATTTAAAATGATATTATGATTTTTAGTTGATTTAAAGTCTATAATTTAATTATAATAGTTGTTGGTATTCAATTGATGTTGATGAAGAATCGAGTGATCTTCTATTTTTATATAATTAATAGTTGCCACTTATATTTTTATATAAGTGGCAACTATTAATTACAGATTTATCATTTTCAGAGAATTTCAAGATTATTTTTCTGTGGAATATAATAGATAATTCAACTCTAGAATTAATCAAGAATAAACATAATGGAGGTTGGACTATATATAACAATTGTGAGGGGTAGAAATAAAATGGGGGGAAAGTGTCACGAAAAAATAATAAAATGTTTTAACATTTGACAGAAGAAGTTTGACTTGTTCGCAGGATACATGTAATTGTTGTGTCAATTTTGTGGAATTTTTTCTCCCTGTTTTTCGGTGAGAAAAAAAGGGTCGGCGTGAGAACCCCAAGCCAAAGCTTCTCGAGTTCCTGGGGGGTTGGTATCCACATTCGGGCAGCTTGCTGCCCCCCCGTCGACGGTACCAGCACTTGAGGGAGAGCCCCACTATGGGGAAGTCCCGAAACAAGTGGCTAATTATTTCGTACTTGGAAACTCACGGATTTCATTGAATCTTCAAATTTTTCCCCTGTAAGATATCTTCGAAAAAAAAATAATAATTGTCAGGGCCATTCGGAGAAAAGGAGATGATAAATTGTTGGTCTTGTAGTGTCGAGGATTTTAGGAATTTTATTATACGTATAAATATATAATACTTAGCAGAATAAATATAAATAACAATATAATAATTTAACTATAATAGTATATAATTTTTTTCTCTTTCCTAAATGGAATATTCAAATAAAGTTTCTTGAAAAAGAATAATACGATATGAAATTATATATTAAATTTTTATATCTATGACAAACAACAATTGAATGTTCGTATATTTAAAAATGTATTTAATATATTTTTATATATCTGCACAGGCTGTCTCACTTTAAGAATAAATTTGACGTTGAAAAATAGATGCCGGAACGTTAAAAAAAAAAACTGACAGACGAAATGGCTGATAAATACTAAACGTGATTGCGCATAACTGAAAAATTTAAACCACATGTCCTGGTGAATAAAAATTCCCACCACACTCGGTCCACGAGCATCTTGTCCCCACATGGAAGACACTTGGCAATTTTTCGTTGGCAATCGCAGGGGCGAAATATACGAGTGCACATGTTGTCAAGGGGGTTCCCCAAGGTGGAGGCCCTAGGGGGTACCGGTGCTTATTCAAAAGGTGAAGAAGTGGTGGGGAGGGGGGTAAACCCCGGTAACAGAAAAATTACAAGCACTTGGGGGCCTTGGGAAACTTCAGGATTACACTGTGGCGGGCATATGGTGACAGAAGTGATGGAGAATGTCCACAGGGCCACCGGTAGCAGGTGAAGTTTACCAGTCGATGGGAATAAGTGAACTGGTACCTGTGCTGGGACCGGGAGTTACCCATCGTTAAACTGACCTATAGACATTTCTCCGGACTTAACCTGAAATTTTCCCCATTTTATCCTGTCCCAACCATAAACCGGGAAATTTCAACCCACCCATAATTCCATAATTACTCCGATCTGAAAATAAACTGTTTAAATTCACATCACAAATGATTTAAGTGTTGCATTATCTTTCATTTTCGTAATATATTGTAATTACTCAAATTGCGCTCATAAAAAAGTAAGTAGAAATGATCCATAATATGAGCCATTTTCTTGTAATTAAGAAATTTGTGAAGACTATATGAACGGTATATATCTTATGTATTATTTAAAAAAGAAATTTTTCAAGTACGAACTTTTTAATTGGTGTCGATGTAAGCACGTAGTTAGGAAAAAAAATGTCGATGTTTTGTTTTAAATAGTGAGTCTAATTCAAATTTAATGTACCACAAAGTTTTGAAAATATTCATGCCTCACAATTACTCAAAAAATCGTAATTTAATTTAATTTGATGCGCTAGACTCTCCAATTTCTGCATATAACATTGTTTAAAATTGAAACAATTATTTGCCGAGATAAAAAATGAGTTCTTTGTAAATCTAGTATTTTCATCAAGCAACCATACATCCCATAAATTCACCTCACAAATGCTAAAACCCGTAAAGCCCCCCCGAAATTAATTTATTAACAACAACAACAATCCGTTCTCGCGATGTGCATCCAGAAATCCTAAGAACTTCCTCATTTTTCATATTCTCTGACTTGACCCCTCGCCCCCGTCGCGATAATTCAATTGTTTCACCACCGGTCAGAAGGCAAAGAAAAAAAAAATCTTCCAACAGCCGAAACCAACCGAAAATACTCAACTTCTGTTATTGCGAAAGAGCGGAATTGGTGTGAAGGGTCGAGTCCTCGGGTCGAAGAAATCGGGGACGTACATCGATCTTTCTCATCCCAAGCTGTTGCGTCGTTAGTTGTCGCCGAGAATTTCATCTGAAATTCCCTCCTACAGCAAAAAACACCATAAATCACCGCCTGAAATAATAATACATCAAGAAATATGCATTAATCGAAAAATATTCATATGCGCATTATTAGATTGAGGTTAGATGACCTTGGATAAAGCCCTGAACGTTGAAATGCAGTAGGAATATCGGGTAGCTCCACAAGAAGACGTACGTTAGGTCGAGATATTCATCTTTTTCGCCAAGTGGCCACCATTCACTATATTACACAAATATATTGTGTTATTATTCGGGTCGTGAACTCAAGATCTCAGCGGATTAGCGATCACAGGAAGCCATGGTTTTACCTTTTATCGGGGTACCCCCTCCTCGATATGCCTCAACTGTTCCTTCTGTGTCCTTTTGTTTTAACATTTTTTTTTTTATTTCAATCTTTTTCATTCATTTCATTTTTTCCTCCTTCACGAATCGGTTTAAGATCGAATCGGATCGGCATACCACTGTATGAGGCCATGGAAATTCTTTTGTTAATGATTTTTTAGGGTTTGCTATTTCAGTTTTCATCTCGACGGGGGACTTCATGCTCATCGAATGCAAATTCATGAAAATTATTGGGGTATGCAATGCATGTTCACGAAGGGGAGAGTAATTCTATCGGTTTTTTGGTGATGTAAGAGGTGAGGCATTGTTATTTCTTCACTTTATGGTCGTGATGGTGGAATTTGTTTATTAATCGATTGTACGCTATCATTCGATTTTCAGCCCAGGATTGGAGGGTCGTGGATCGGTAGCTGTTTCGAGAGACGGGGAATTAAAACGATTTTGCCGGGGGAAAGCTGGTGGAATTGAAAAGTTCAGATGAAATTCAAGTTGATTCATACTCTGTTGGGAGTGGTAATAAGGTATGTTTCATAACGCCCGAATTTCACCATTTATTAAATGCTTTCTTTTATTGTTACCAAAAAAAAAAAATTCAACTTTCAATATTAAGTTTCCAAAAAAAATTATTTTCCTGAAATTTAAGAATGAATGTATAATCTTTGGAAAAAAACTTTTCTTACCGAGAAATTCTTAAAGACTTATTCAAATGTTACATAAATATCAAGATTTATAATCTATAATTTTATAATACAAATTTAAAAAAACTATTTCAATTTCATCATTCCAAAAACATCAATTTGTGTTGATAATCAACATTAAGATATTTTTTTGGATTTGGCCTTAGTCCAATTGATAAAAGATTTATTACAACGATCACTAGTACGTAAACGGAGATAATAAATTTCCCTCGAATAACACTTCCAGAAAGAAAGTCCGAATCATATTTTTCCAATCCGTGATCTCCCGAAGATTCATCGTGACTGGCACCTGTCAATCTCCACAATTTGACATGGAATTTTAAAAAGGTCCGGATGGAATAACGATTATCGAATGATGACACCGATGTAACATCCAAATAAAGGAGTGATTCACTGAAACGAGTGGAATCATTCAATTCTCTCTCATCAAATGGACCCACTTTCTTTTTTTTCGTTAGAAGGGGGTAGAAAGAATGATCTATAGCGAAGATCGATATCATTATTGATTGTCCTCGAGAGCAAGCGCAACGTAATCGAGACCCACACACTCCGACCCGGGCATATATTTTTCACACTCTCTGGACCTTTATCTTTTTTTTTTTCAATTCATCTCCTTCGCTCTCTCGTTTGCTCCTTTCCTCTTGTCTTTTTGGAACGCGCAACACCGCGATAAATACGTTATTGTCCCGTGTGCATTGTTGGCATGATTATTATCGGTGAACCCGGGGGATTACTTTTCACGCGCAATGTTTTTTTTTTTTTTCACTTTATTTTTCCACTCGGGGTCGCGTAGCGGTACGATCTGCACACGTAACGCGAATATCGCGTCTTTCACTCGCTATTTTCATTATTTTATTTCCTACCAGCTGGAGGGGTGGCGCCACTCGAAACTCGAAACTTTTTTTTGTTTCAATTTTTCTGTTTCATAGATTACTTTATTATCATAAATTTAGTTATGGTCAGCGGGGAGTAGCACATTTTTTTCAAGGTCAGTTTTTAGCTAATATCTCGGATTTGAAGCCAGATAGCTGTATTTTTGGTTAGACATTTTCTGTGGAGAAAGGTAAGCGCTACAAATAAGGTAATTACGGAAATATCAATATATTCATGCAATCTCAAGATATCTGGCAAAAACTCATCTCGAGAAAACGTCCACTTGTCTACAGTTATTATCACTTGGCTTCGCTGTGTGATCTAATACATGCAGTTGTCAAAATAACAATTAAATAATAATTATTAAGATTAATTTAAAGAACACGAATGCTATTATATTACATTACATTATATTATTATTAATATCTGTATTGTTGTGAACCGAAAAGAGGAGAACAAAATGTGAAAACCTGAGAGGTGTTTTTGAACAATAAAATAAAAATAGTTTATGCCCAAATAGTAAAAAATTCTATTTATCACAAATGGATGATAAACATTTTATAAAAAAAAATTATTGTTCACTTCGGTAGCAGAGAAAGCGCTGAATTTTCGGACTGAGTGACGGAAATTCATCCAAAAATGATGGGGTGCCCCGAAAAAATTCTGTAAAATTTTCCCTAACTACATTTCGGAAGACATACGTAATTTGTATTAAATATTGCTCACCTGTCGCTGCAGGGGGCCCTCAATCAGCCAAGTGACTCGTCCGGAAAGGGGGAAGCGAATATCTGCGGAAGTGGTGGACTCTCGAGTCGCAGGTGACGCTATCACCGAGTGGATATCAGTATGCTGGGGTTAAATAGTGTTCAGCTATGCATCAGGAAGGAAGTGGGGTCACCGGACCTTGGCCCACGGTCGGCCGAGGTGCAGCAGGTGGACATACGGCTACAGTGGGGGAAACGGTAAATGATAGTGCTAATGTTACTGTCCATTGGCATCTAGGCAAGTGCGAAGCCCCAAATGTGGTTTCCGGTTTTTGGCTTCAGTAAATAATTTTTCACCGATGAAAATATTAACAAAATAATAAATTGCACACTTAGAAAAAAAAATTAATTCAGGATTCATGAAATTTTCACAAAAATCTGATTTTTCCAGCTGAATCAGCCCCAGATGACTTGGACTCCATCGGATAAATCATCAGGTGCGCATTATTTTTTCTTCCAATTAAGAGTTTTTTTTTAATGATGTGAAGAACGACGTGTACGTAATAAAAATGGGGTATGACTCCGCGAAAGGAGCCGCCGTATTTCCACAGGGCACTCGTATTAGAGGGAATTGTTTTTGCCCCAGGAATTCTTTTTGGGAATTGTTTTTGGTGTTTGGGGCGGTGTGAGGCGCGTAATGCCGTAAAGACGTTGACGATACAATCTGCCATCGTTGGCGTGTGCCCATAAGAGTGCGCGTGCCTTGAATCAAGGATGAGTTAAAACGTCACGTCAACCCGTTTCCACGTGATTCATTGACTCGGGTGGGATACAAGGAAATTCAACGCAGTGGTTGGGTTACAACAGGGGAATAATTCTCGGGTTGAGATTTTAAAGTGAAAACTCCATGGCGAAATTCAAAATGCTTTTTTCAAGACCCCAACGAATATTTTATTGAAATTACGTAGAGCAAACGGAAAATATTCAGAATTTAAGAAAATTATTCTTTCATATATTGTTATATCCGGAGGAAGACAACTCAACAGGTCAACTAATAATTGGGGCGGTTTATTAATTACGATACAATTAATAAATGTGTCTTGTGGCAGAGCTTCGAAGAGAATGAATACAATAATAGTTTATTAAAAAATAGTCGTTACCGAGCAGGCCTTCTTGATCTCTCACGATCGATAATTGAGTAACGCTCTGAAAGGAGATACGTAACAATATTATAAGAGCAGTACCTGAAATAAGTCGCTCTGCACTTGGTGAAAAATTTGTAGCGCTGAAGAATTCGAAAATAAAAAAAATCATGAAAAACGAAAAAATTGAGAAAAAAGTCCGAGAATTTATTAAAATCGTTTATTAGTTTGTTGTAATATTTCTATTAATTATCAATACAATATCAATTCGCTCGTGCATAATGATCGAAAACTCCTTTTTTTTATAATCTTTTTTTAGTTTGTTAAGAGCACGCCATTGTGTCCCAAACTCCAGTATATTGGAGTCGCTAATTAATCATTTCCGAATTAAAAAATGAGTGGAAGAGAAGAGATTTGGGCATGATAGGTATACGAAAATGGCTGTCCTTCTCTTAGGTACCCCGTCATGCCCGGGCTTCTATTCCACTCTTCCTATTATTTCAGATATAAATATAATGTAATGGAAAATTTTTTTATGACTGGAAAATTAAAATATCCTGATTGATCCAGATGAAACAAATTTGGGTGGAGAGAGGTAAATTTCTAATTAATATGAAATTGAATAATCATTTTGAAGCATTCCAGATATTATTCCTTAATATTTCCTTTCGTGTGGAATTTTTTAAAGAATACCTGTCTGCGTGTTAATTATCTGACATTAATCGACAGATTCCACTCATCAGCTCTGGCTCCCTATAAAATCATGATGAGCTCGCGTTCCATCAAATCTCCGGGACTCGCTGAATGAATAGGCGTGTAATGAGACGCATAAATGTTGGATGACTCTCTCGCACTGAGATTATGTATAGGGTGTTGTACGGAGGGGTCCTGGGGGGTCGTAACCCTCGTCTCGGTTATGGGGTACCGGATTGAACTCAGCTACCAGGTGATCGACCACGCCTCATCACTTTGCTCGCTACTTCGTACATCCGAACGTGTAACACCCGTTGATAGTGAGTCCGGATAAAAGCCAACTGGGTGTTACCGCACTTTGCCCATCTCCCTCGGTGCATTGTCGGCGATCGACGTTGGGGGTCACTGTTCGGGGTCAGTCACGCCAGCGAACAAGTTCTCGCGTTTCTTTTTTCCACGGAAGGAATTATCTGCGAAAAATTACTGGTCTCTTACCCGTAAATGGTGGATATTGCACTGTACTCATGAAAAGTCACGTGAAATGCATAAAAAATTATTGGAGTTTTTATTGGATTTATTATTAGAGTCACGCCGTACATTTACTACGGTGAGCAATAAAATTTATTACTCTGATCATCAATCTTCTTCGAAGTTTATTTAAGAATTCGGAATGTACTGATAAGAAACTGAAATAGTCGTGGGAGCAGTGGTAATTTTACTGGACTCAACTATTAATATTTAGGGGTTGGATCACAATGCTCTAACTTTGGTTCCATAATTATTCATCGCAAAGTAAATTCATCACGAGAATTTAACACGAAATATTTCAACATGTATTTAATTGAACAGACAGACAATTAGACGCAGAAACAGTTGATGTTTTATTTGACGTTGGATAGACAATTTTGACAGGAACCGGAAGACCATGTGTACCATGCATAAGTGTATGGTAAATACTCCGGAATTTGAAATGATAATAATGACGATAAAACTAGTCATAATAAATGCACCTGAAGAGAGATGCCTGTGCCTTCAAAACATTGACAGAAAACAGTCCACCATTACCTGGAGTTTGAATTTTTTATTAACTTCTTTTTCAATTTTTAATTTATTTATCAATTAATTACAGAAAACGGATAGTAACGACCGGAACTAATCATCAGAGAGAAACAAATTGTGTTAAAAATTATAATTTTGTAAAACTGTTTTTTTTTAATTTTTTTATTTAAAGACCGTATGAACTATTTATCAAACTATATCTTTTGTTTCAATCTGATTCGCCTAATATATATATATGAAAATTTGGTATCAAATTTGTGTTGCAGGCACCCGTTGAATGATTATAAAAAGATAATGACAAAAAAAAGTAAAAATTATTGGAGGACGCTAAATCGCGATAATGATTGAAAGGAATCTGCCAAGTTTACAAAAAAAATAATAAAAAGCGAGCGACACCTAGATGATATCGCGCCTTAAAGTCTTTCAAAACCTTAATGTCATACAGCTGAAGTAAATAGTTGGTCTTTCGTATTAGGTATTGATAGGACATTTAAGTAAACTTGTCGATAATTTCATAAAATTCTTTTTTCAAGCTTTTCAGGAAGAACCTTATTTAATCTGGTGGACGAAAACGTAAGAAGATGATGTGTCATGGGTACTCAGCACAAAAGCAGAAGACATGATCAACATCCAATGGATTACACTTGCAATTTGCAAATTATCACTGTCAAATTGTCCTGACACCCCTCGTGTAATAGACAGTCTGGTCATTTTTACATCAATCATGTAGGCTTTTGATGGAAATTTCTCAAATTAATGGGATTTTTATAAATTAATTCTTAACAGCTGTTTTTGTTCGATCGGTTTTTAATTCCTGGTGAATCTAACTCGTGACCTATCCCACCTCGGCGATTGCCGAAACTACCGGATCGTGTTCGTCGAGCGATAGTCGTTACGCCCATGAAAATTACGGAGAAGCCACAATTACGATCGCGCGGGCGTGCACCGTGTCTTACCGCCTTGGTTACGCTTCACTGATTTTTTTATTTTCACTTTCCTCGATTCTCGCTGGTGCTCGTCGTCTATCGAACACGTTGCTTATTTTTTTGTGGATTAAAGTGGCCAGACCCGTAAGTTTATTGTACTGTCAATTTATAGTGCACGCAGAAATTTCAGTAAATTATCGAATGTGATAGAAATAATTTTTCCATATCCTCTAATTAAATTTGTTTACTACATTACCAATTAAATTAATTCAATTGTATCACTCAAATTTCTATTAAAAACAATTCGACACTTGTATTGAAACAGAATTGAATCGAAGTTATCGATTGCTTTATTTTTCATGGTCTTATCAGTCATGGCGTATACTAAACCTGAAGAGAGTAGATAAAAACGGAAAAATCGATCGATCTCTGAAATGAATCCAATGAGATCATGAAAAATCAGTAATTTTTGAGAGAGGAAATCTGAGCTGGAGGGGGGAAATGGGTAGACTTGCTTCGAATTGGAATAAGTTATTAAAATGATGGCAAATCTAAACTCCCAGAGTTAACAATCACGAGAGGAGCAACGAGATGCTTACGTCAGTCCAATGAAAATTCGTGATCAGCTCCACCCTGCGTCTCCCCAAGAATATTTGCTTTTAATTTTTTTATTCCCCTGTGCCATTATTACCCTATTATGTGTTGCATAACAGTAACAGTGAGCCAAGTGAGCTATTACGTTGGTCTATCGGAGCCGAAGGTGCAACGTATAGAACGAAATGGAATTGAGTCTGAGTACATAGTGGAAGTCGTTGTGGGTCGATGCGCCCGCGGGTCCATCCACTGGAGAAGGTGTCGGCTCCACTAAACTCACTAGATTATTTTTTTTATTTCATTTATTTTTATCGGGTAACTGTAAGCATGACTCGGCTTGTCCACGTAATCGGTTTGAACTTGCACCTTGCACGACTCGTTTACCGAGCCAACTTCTCATCCACCAATTTTTAACGAATAACATCTCTCTCGTTTTTAGATTCCCTCGAATGAGGTAGCCACCTTACGATCTCTGGCATTTCTCATAACCTCTTTATTAGGGTCGATTATTCCCTCTAACCCCAGAAGTTGAACGTTAAAGCCACATAATTGCTCGATGCAACGGTCAATCATTGAGGCTCATCCAAATAAATGGCGCAACTGTATTTTCATCGTGAAAACACCGGTTACGTCAGTTAATTCATCACGCCGATTTGGATTATTAAAATGTGGGCTTGATATTCGGTGGGATTAATCG